CCTAAAAAAAACTATTAAAGACATGTACATAATTGTATTCATCATAACCTAGCTTATAATAACAAAAACGAGTATACCTAACTATACATTATTGGTATTTTAGTAAAATAACTTGTAATTTATTCATCTAATGAAATACTGTTCACCCATTAAAAAATGATTATGTAGATATACATTTATTGGCACAGATAAAGCCATATAAGCATATTGAAGGAAAAGCAGAATGGAGTCTTGAGATCTAGAAATATCATTAAACTAAAAAGACATATAGAAATCTACTTCTAAGATTCCAACATTCAGTATTAAGTCTATTGTCTACCTGACAAAGGACTTACATTCAGAACATATAAAGAATTCTAACTCAGTGTTTAAAAGAAGCAAAAGTTGAACATATGCTTAAAAAGAAAAGTGAATGACCAATAAGCACATAAAAAGAAGTTCAAAATTATTAGTGACTGGGGAAATGTAAATTTAAAAAAAAATTTTATTGAATCATAATTGATTATACATATTTTTGGGGTTCAACATTGACATATATTGATCAAATCAATATTACTAGCATATATATTGTTACAAATCATAATTATTCTTTATGCCCCTTGTCCAATCTCTCCCCATCTCCCTCTTCCTCCCCCCTCCCCCATCTAATTACCCTAGATTTCTTCTCTCCTGCTGAAAGAGTAATGGTTACTCTGTTGATTTGTTGCCTAGATGATCTGTCAAATGCTGAGAGGTGTGTTCAGGTCCCCCAATATTATCGTAGAGTGGATACTTCTTCTATCACTCTAGAATGAACTTTGTGGAAAGAGACATCCTCTTCTTTTCTTTGGTCTCTGCTGTTGACTCTCCTTGTGTCAATGCACTCCAGTGGCCAGCAGGCCATTTGCACGGTGGTTGTGGCATCTACCCGCTTTTGCGGCAGCCGTGGTTATTGTGGTAGCTGTGGTGGGCCACCCACATGGAGGTGGTGTTTTTGGCATGCTCCTTACCTAGTTGGTGGTGGGGCTGGCAATATGCCTGGTTGTGGGTGGAGGGTCCAGTCCCCAGATGCATGCCTCAGGACCCTGGGCAGGCCCCATGGTGCTGGCAGTATGCCTGGTTGTGGGAGAACGGTCTGGTCCCCAGATCCAAGCCTCTGGACCCTGGGCAGGCCCCAGGGCACTGGCAGTGTGACTGCTTCTGGGTGGAGGGTCCAGTCTCTGGCTCCATGCCTGGTTGTCCCTGCTTTTTGGCTTGGTAGCCCAGGGGACTTCTGGTCCTTCTAGGTGTTACAGGTGTTCTTTGGTGAAATGAAGCCTTTACTAGTTAATATCAAACTTTGTCTCTGGTTGTGCGTACTCTGTTTTTTCTTTCAGTTCTGTGTTGGATTATTTGCTGTTCCTACCACTTAAACTCTGTGCCGGAACTAATTTGTTGTCCTTTGCTTACTTCTAACGTGGGGAAACTTCCTGTGGGGACCAGTACTTGAGCTCTGTGGTTGAGCTAAAGTGTTGCATTGCTGTTGATTCCCTGGGGAAGGCTTTTTGTACAGCTCAGGTTTTAATGCTTGACTTTATAGTACTTCGAGGTTTAGTGGAATCCGATGTGCCTGGTTTGTGTAGAAACACGGGTCTGGGTCTGAGTCTTTTCATCAGACTCTGGGCCTGAGTCTTTTCAGCAAACTGCACCCCATGCAGTTCTATACTCCTGACCAGTCTCCTCTGAGTGGTCCTTCGCTGATAGGGGTGCAGATCAGCTTTCCTTGCTGTGTGCCTTTTCCCCCACTGCCTGTGCTGCAAACACTTTCCATGGGACAGGCCATGCACTGGTCCCTTGTGATGACTCACCAGCCTGAGTGGCTCTTTTTTTTCAGTTTTTGTGGCTCCTCACCCTTATGTGGGTCCACAGGAACCTTATTAGTCGTCTTGCTGGCCTGGGGGCCACCAAGACCCTCTCTCCACTGCTGCCTCCAAGCAACTTCATCTGAAAGGCACAGCTGCAGCTTTTGCTGGCTCCTGCTCTGTGCACTCAGCAGCTCCAGCCTAGAAGCAGCCAGGGCTCAAAAAGGTCAGAGCAGATTTTCTTTCTGTTATTGTGGCTTCTCCCGCCTTCGTGCACTCTGTAGGTCTCTCCTCCTCTTCTCCTGAGCTCTAGTGGCCCCAGCTTGGCTGTCGTTGCTTTCTAATACTTGTAAATTGGTTGATTTGTGGGAGACAGTGATGCTAGGGACTGTCTATTCTGCCATCTTGACCTGAAGCAGGGAAATGTAAATTTAGACTTTAATGAGATACTTCATCACATCCACTAGAATGGCTAAAATTTGAAAGATTCACAAAACAAAGCATTGGTGAAGATTCAGAGTAACTCCAACTTTCATACATTGCTGGTAGGGATGTAAAATAGTTCAACCACTTTGGAAACAGTTTGGTGGTTTATCATATCATCAAATATACACTTACCATATGACCTAGTAATTCTACTTGTAGGTATTTACCCAAGAGAAATGGAAACACATGTCCACAAAAGGACTTCTGTACAAATTTTCATCACTGCTTCATTCATGACAGCCAAAACCTGGATACAACCCAAATGTCCATCAGCTGATGAATGTATAAAAAACTGTGGTGTATTCATTTAATAAAATACTACTCAACCAGAAAAAGGATATCTGCAATAACACTGATGAAACTCAAAACATTCTGCTAAGGAGGAACAGCTTGAAAAAGATTACATACAGTATAATTCCACTTACAAGAAATTCTAAAAAAGGCAAAGCTAATCCATAGTGACAAAAAATAGAAAGTGGTTGCCAGGGGCCAGAAATGAAATCTGGGGGAGGGGTAAGGAAGGGATGGACTACAAAGGAGCATAAAAGGAACTTTTGGGGGTAATATAAAAGTTCTGTGTCTCAGTTGTAGTTGTTGATATATGTATACATTTGTAAAAACTCATTAAACTGTGTACTTAAAATGGGTGCTTTTTATTGTATGTAAATTATACATACAAATTTGATTTTTAAAAAAATGTATGTGTTTTAATTTCTGCTGTTTAAGCCAAAAGATATATGTAACCTGAACATATGTATACTACATATCTCAAAAATCAGTGAATTTTGAACNAAAAAATGTATGTGTTTTAATTTCTGCTGTTTAAGCCAAAAGATATATGTAACCTGAACATATGTATACTACATATCTCAAAAATCAGTGAATTTTGAACATAACTACAAAGATACCTCAAGCAGTACAAATATTTTTTGGAATATACATAGAGATATAGATATATATAGATGTACACAGGTAAATGAATAGTGTGTTTAATACTCACAGTAACAGGTGCTTATGTTGATTTTCTCAAATATTCTTTGCAGGTAGTTGACTATGCCAAAGTTGTTCAACCACGTTTTGATAAAGCCCGTGAAACACTAATAGAAAATGCTATTGCTCAGGCCACTGAAGCAGCTATTAAATCTGTGAAAGAAAAGGTTCTCACAGAACTACAAGCTAAAAGACAAGGTAAGCCATCTTACCAGAAATGTGTTTTAAGTTTAGGTAAATAATGAAGTCTGGCTACTTGAGGACAAGGACTTTGCCCATCTGGGTATCCTTGGCATCTTGCACTGTAGTTTTTCAATAAATGGTTGAAGGAATGGATATACATAAGCTGATTCATAAGCAGAGAAAAAAATTTCAATTCTAGAACATTAAGGAAAGGAATCAGAAAGAGCTTCCAGACTTGGATTTCTTTACTTTTATGGGTCTACTTACTGGGCAGAGACTGTTTGAGCAGTATTTCCATCTTTATCTACACCAGTTATTAGAATAACAAGAATTCAAGGGCTGGCCTGTTAGCTCAGTTGGTTAAAGCACAGCCTTGTACACCAGGGTCACAGATCCGGATCCCCGTGCCAGCAAGCTGCCAAAAGAAGATTAAAAAAA